TTTGAATTTTTGTAAGAAGGGAGGAAAAGAGCCATGGAGCAGCTCTGGAGCACCCTGACAGGCTGGCTGAAGGCAGCAAGCCCCGTCTGCATTAACTGTTACCACAAAGTGAAATGATGGAAGGCAAGACTGGGCCACTGGGCTCCTTGATGTCAAGGCAGAGGAGGCAGCTCTTTTGGCCTTCTCCATGCAGCATTTCTTCTGAAATATCTGCTTCATCCAGCAGGCACTGGCAGGACAGCCTTTCAGTGGTATTTTAGACAGATAGCTTTGGGGTGAGGATCTGTCCCAGTACTGGCTTTAGCACTCAGGAATGGTATCAATAGGACGCTAAGTAACTATTTCTTGCAGAGAAACAGGGCTCAAAAATTGTTTGAACATTTAGATCTAGTTGTTTTCTTACCACTTTCACTTTTATGTCATTCACCAAACCAGGCACTCCAGATGGCCTTACTGAAGTAAAAGAAAACAGTAAAATATTACCTCTCCCCTTCTCTATGGGTTTCACTAGATTAAGTAGTTAGCCAGGGCAGATGAATCACCAGTCAAAACATGTACAGCTGCTCCATTTCAAACACAGGTGCTTGATTCTCTGTTTACAAGGTTGTCAGCCAGTTACTTCTTTGCTTGAGGAACTGGGGTTTGCCCCCAGCTGTTTTTCAGAAAGCAAAAGCAGTTCACTAATGTTATGTTTTAATTGTGCCCACTGCTGTGCCCTCTGCCTCTTACTTCAGGCTGTCTCTGAAGTGCAAATTGCACATGGGTAAATGTAGAGTCTGGGATAGCTTCCAAATTCTCCCAAAAAGAAACATAATACTCAACTACAGCTGCATTGTGTAGAAAGTTCTTTTAGCTGCAAAAATATCAAGCATTGATGAGCACTCTGTATAAATAACAGATAATAGGCAAGAAATACAGGTAAGAAACATTACAGGAAATGTAATGCTGGAGACAGAATAAGGGTATCTATTTCCAGGAAGTGAAAGCTGCTGTCTCTCCTGGAGAGGTTCTCCTCACTCCAAGACAAACTCCTGCAGTTTCTCTGGTGCTATGTTTAATCCGCTGATAATGCAAATTACTTTAGTCCACACATGCTTTCCTCTACAAGCTCCCTCATCACCCAGAGAGCTTCTGAGCACAGAAACACCTTCTGCCTCTTTTGCTAGTATCTATGCATTTATTTTTCAGCCTTTTCTTAAAATTCATGTACTTCAGTGAATGACGGTCAGCATCTACACACCTTGAGAGGCTTTTTGCTAAGCATAGCAGAATTTTACATCACACTACTGCTGCCGTAGAGCATAAACACACTGAGGAGTGTTTAGATATCCCAAACTTCCACTTCAGTTCCATGGCAGCATTTCCAAATAATATTCAAGTTGCTCAGCAGAGTATTTTTAAATTAAATGAATGAGACTGCTGGATCTATTTTCAGGAAAAGAAGGTACAGCAAATTAAAAGCAACTCTTAATTAGCAGAATGCTACCATAGATTCTTCTATGAATAAGAATCTTGAAAAAGCACATGCAGAGCCTCGCTTAAAATACATACCATATATCAATTGGCTTCTACTTTATATGAATATAGTAATACAGAACACTGTGCCATAAGGCTTATTCTAAGAAGGCAAAACTAATGACAAACGTTTTTATGCAGATTAAATAAACTCAGCTGGAGAAAATGAGGCAGCTGTATTCCACACCACCTCTTCAACCTTTAGTAAAGCTGTCAGCAGGCTTTTGACAATAACATCTGCTACAGTTACACAGGCAGGAAGCAAGAAATAAAGCCCTCACAGTCTAAATCAGAAGCCAAATGCACAGATGAAGAAACAGAGAAGAAAGTATGCTTCTGGATAGGTCATTCTCATCAGCTGGACTAGTTTAAACCCAAAAATACTGTTGAAGTCCGAGTTTATTTGAATTTAAAGTAGGTCAGAAAGTGGATACGGGATTCCCTACTAACAACAGTACTACTATTTGCCTCTTACCACGAACATGGTATCAACTGTCCATCAAGAGTCCACAAAAAGCCTGAAATCACCTCCCAGATATTTTAATAATAACCATCATCAACAGCTTCCTCTTAAATATCATTATAATTTCCAGCCACCTGCCAGGAAGGATTTATTTTCTTTCAGAAAAATGAAAACCCAGAAATAAAATTAATAGTTATATGACTCAGAAAATCAGTGCCCTAAAATAGACCACATGTACCCACACAACCCATCTGTGTTTTACCCACTCCCTCACAGTACCTCCTATGAAAAGTCCAGTGCCCAAATCAGACCAGACTTCAAGCCAGTTAATCACACTTTTCTGTCATACATCTTTCTGTCAAGAGAAATTGACCCAGAGCTAAAATGATGCAGGAAAGATTTATGTCAGTGCACAGGGCTTGGATAAAAGGCTCATTATAAGTATGTAGGTAGAAACTTAGATATACTGGCTTTGTTTTCACTTCCAAATGTATGGATTCCCACTTGTGCTCTGCTCTGCCAGCTGCCCCAGCCAGCAGGCCCTGTGCTGAAATCAGAGCCGCAAGTTGCTAGACTTGTCAATAGTGTACAAACGCCCCCAAAAGGGCAGGGGAATAAGGAGAGCAACTTTTTAGCATAAAATATGTCAAGAAAAAAAAATTAATCAAGGTAACAGGGCCACAACAAGAAGAAAAAACTCAATTTTGCCTTCATACTAGTGGCTGGAGTCTAGGTTATAAAAAAAAAAACCACAGAAGAATCTGAATTGTTCATTTAGAAGTGTGACTACAACCTAGTTTGCAGTACATGGACTCAGTGAGAAGAGTTACACAGCAACTGTTAAAACAAAGGTTTATAGCCTGTCTAGGAAGCTTCATGCCCTCAAGTATCACCTAAAAGGGAGGTTAGGGGGGATTATTATTGTTTATTCACATATTGGAAAATACACACTTGAATACATGATTCTTCCCTCAGCTTTGCTATTAAACCTAATTTTCTAGAAAAAGTCTAGTCCTAGAAAAACAATGAAATTACAACAATTCCACATTACAGACCCAGTTCAGAGGAGCAGCAACACCCAAACCATATGCTTGCTTTATTGTCTTTTGTCCACCAGCCCTTTGATGTGAATTCAGCAACAGTTTTCAGTAGCTGAAGCTCTCCTCCAGCCAAGAGGCAAAGTAGCATTAACGGCAAGTTTTCAGACTGTGAAGCATGTAGCACTGGGTAAAGCAGAGCCATTTACCTTAGCACGGCTCAATGCACAGGGGGTAGCAATATCACAGTAACAAAGTGTCAAAGAAAAATGAAAGGCTTAAAACTGGAGACTGGTATTTCATTCTGCCTATCCCTCACTGCCAGAATCCATGATCCCCTCTGTGATACAGAACACATTTCTGTGATGCCCTGAAGGCATTTTCTGCTTCACAGTAACATCTCCCACACAGTTGTCTCTCTTCCAGTAGATTCTACTTCAAAATGTAAGTAAAATGGCAGACAATGGGGGAAGGGGAAAGGGAAGAAGAATCCACCATCCTGGAAGCACTACTACCAAAATTACTTCAGTGATGACAGACTTAAGGAAAATGACCCAGCCATAAACTATGTCACTGGAAACGTGGACAGTACAGACCAAATATCTGAGAATCTCAGCTTCTACCTGGTATCTTAATCCAAAGGCAGTCACCTCCCCCAAAATTTCCACTTGATTTTTATTAAGCAAAATCACAGTGCAATCAGCAACACCAGAATCACACCCTAACTCTCTCAGGCAATGGACACAAGCTTCTGCACCCCTGGTCAGAGGGCAGCAAAGGTCCACATTTGCAAATTAGGTGTAGCCAACTCTGACACTTAAGGAAACAGCAGGAAGACTTCTGTGCTGGCGTCAAACACAGCAGCGTAAAGTCAACACGGCATAAGCAGGAATCCTTCTTTAGGGCTATCAGAAAGAAGGGATTTAAGAAAGCTCACTAGATTAGACTGTACTGGATTTCTCTGACAGTTCCTCATATTCTACACACATCTATTCTTGAATGTCATAGCTTTTAAATATACAAGCAAAACTGAAATCAGTCTTTTCCATGCAAATCCATTTGTTGGGGGAAGACCAGATTACAGACTTCTCCAATTTCTATAACTTCTGCACTCCCAATAGGTGAGAATTTCAGAGGCCCTCTCTCTTCCTTGCTTTAAAAGGTTCTGAGGTAAAACATTTATGTAACTCATTTTAAACACAGAAATCAAGGTCTGAGTCTGCTGTGAATTGCACTAATTTGTTTCCTTCAGTTCTTCTGAATTTCTGTCAGCATAAAGTATGAAGAAGGGAGCAACCTGTTTGACAATACCACATAGGATTAGTTTTTGTCAGGTTTTTTTTCTTTCCTTTCTGATGAATTAAATACCAGACTGAATTGGTGCATATGTACTCATGTCAGAGAGCTCTCCTGACACACAGCAACTATTGGCTCTGCCTGAATCTCTTCCTACAAACTCTTAAGAAATTTCTCTTTCTTTGTGGATGTGTTTGAAAAATGAGAAGGTGCATCTCAAACACTGACTTAAGACATAACATGTTTGATTCCTTCAGTTTTCTTATGGAAAAAGATTTGGAAATCTGTACTAGAAATTATTTCTTCTCAAAATCACTCCATATAGGCTGTTTTTCATAAGCTACTTGCCTAGATAGTCTGCAGTGTCTTTTTATAACCATGCTCTAACCCACATGTCAGTCCCAGAATCCCAGGACACATTTTTCCTAGGAACCACACACTACTCTTACAGCTATGACCTTGTTTCAGTATCACTGTGGCTAGAATCCTTCCCTCCTTATATCTCAAAAAAATTTAACACATTTCTCAAAGGCTGTAGAATCTAGCCTTTCCAAATAGCACTACAATCTACTATGCTTCAACAACAGTTCTCAGACAAGTTGCAGTAGCCAACCTGCAAATAGACCACGCAGCCTCTCCCCAAAAATCTGTTACACATCCACACCAGCCTTGTACCATTCACAATTTACAGCACTGGGATATTTTTTCAGATCTCAGCCTGATGAGAACAATGTTGTTAGCTCATCCCCAAAGAAGCTTTATTACTCTCAAAATTGGAGAAAGAATGGGAAAGGGAGGACAAAAAGGCGTACTGACCTCGCGCATCGAAGAATTCATCATCAGAGCTCTCCACAGAGTCTTTGAGGACATTCTGCATGTGCCACTGAGCACCACTTAATCGCTGTGGGCCAGCTGGAAAGACAAAGAGACTCACGTTAGCCAAAGGGAATGCTCATCTTCCCTCCAGGATTAGAGGGGAAAAAAATCCAACAATGAACAGTTTGTGTATATGGCTCAGGAAAATCATTTTGGTCAACATACTCACTTCAATCTCAACAGTCAGAGTTCTCAGGATAGCACAAAAATTATACCTCTCACTTCCCCCTAAAAAAGTGATTAAAATAAGTTCTTGTTAAAGATAAGCCTGCATACATTTCAGCTAATGGAGTAACTCGAAAAGAGAACTCCTTCCTTATTGAGTGTTGGAAATGAACAGCCTGGTGAATTCAAATTACATTTTTTCTGAGACACAAAGCAGCATTTCCCCAGGACATGGCAGTAGATCCTATTTAAATTCAATTTCACTTCTCAAAGAAGTGCCATCCTATTTGGCTCACAGATTTACAGACAAACTACTAAATTCTAACTCACTGAGCTGTTTTCATTCAGACAGCTTTGTTTTCCTGGAGCCTGGGGCTTTCATTTGAGGACAGGAAAGCAAAACCACATTAGAATAGGTACAGTAACATGTATGTGGTCAATGAGACAAAATCTAGTTGGAAGTTTGTGACTAGTGGAGTCCCTCAGGGGTCGCTACCGGGACTGGTACTATTCAGTATTTTCATCAGCGACCTGGATGAAGGAACAGAATGTAACCTCAGCAAGTTTGCTGATGACACTAAACTGGGAGGACTGGCTGACACATCACAAGGCTATGGTGCCATTCAGTGAGACCTGGACAGGCTGGAGAGTTGGGCAGGGAGAAACATGACAAAATTCAACAAGGGCAAGTATAGAGTCTTGCATCTGGGGAAGAACAACCCCATGTACCAGTACAAGTTGGGGGCTGACCTGCTGGAGAACAGTATAGGAAAAAGGGACCTGGGGGTCCTGGTGGACAGGAGGATGACCATGAGCCAGCAATGTGCCCTTGTGGCCAAGAAGGCCAACGGCATCCTGGGGTGTATTAGAAAGGGCGTGATTAGTAGGTCAAGGGACGTTCTCCTCCCCCTCTATTCTGCCTTGGTGAGGCCACATTTAGAATATTGTGTCCAGTTCTGGGCCCTTCAGTTCAGTAATGACAGGAAACTGCTTGAAAGAGTCCAGGGCAGAGCCGCAAAGGTGATGAAGGAGTGGAACATCTCCCTGATGAGGAAACGCTGAGGGAGCTGGGTCTCTTGAGCCTGGAAAAGAGGAGACTGAGGGGCAACCTCATCAGTGTTTACAAATATGTTAAGGGTGAGTGCCTGGAGGACAGAGCCAGGCTTTTTTCAGTGATGTCCAGTGATAGGACAAGGGGCAATGGGTGCAAACTGGAACATAGGAGGTTCCACATAAACATCAGAAAAAACTTCTTTACTGTGAGAGTGACAGAGCACTAGAACAGGCTGCCCAGAGAGGTTGTGGAGTCTCCTTTGCTGGAGACATTCAAACCCACCTGGACGCATTCCTGTGTGATGTACTCTAGGTGATCCTGCTCTGTTGGGGGGGTTGGATTAGATGATCTTTTGAGGTCCCTTCCAACCCCTAAGATTCTGTGATTCTATGATATAAAGTCATGACAGGTTAGATGGTCCCAATGGATTATCATACCCAAACTAATTTGTAATTAATGAACCAGAAAGGCCTAACTATATGTTAGATACTAGGATCACAATTGGTACTGTACTTTCTTTTTATGTCAAGCATCCATTTAAAAAAACTGTCCAATTATGCAGTCACCTGACACAATAAGTATGATTCATTGAAGACTCATTCCTCATAATGATTATCATTCATTTGCTGTGATTCATTGGTACAGCAGAATGACTGCTTAAAGATTTTGTAACAGCTATTATTTTTTACTCAATTCCCAGTTCCTGTAAAAATACAGATAAATTTGTACTAATTTTAAGAAAAAAGGAGGATTCTCAACTTGCAAACCAGCATTTTCTTCAGTAATCTTATGGATAATGTTTAAAGCTAACACTTTGTTTTGATTTTCAATGAAAAAAACCCTCCTTGAGTCCATTTTCCAGACATAGTGCCTAAGAACTATTATATTAAACACCCAGATTTCGGTCCCTAGCCAAACAAGCGACTATTTCAGCAACAATGTTAGTGCATAATAAGCGCTGAACATTATTTAAAAGCACCTAAAATCTTAAAGAGCAGCAACACCAGTTTGAAAAAGATATACTCTACCATTTAGACTTTACCCTTCACTTCTGACCTATGGAAATTCAAAATTGGGTTAATAGCTGCTGCCTTGCAAAACAAGCTCTTAGACGCATGCCTGAGGAGAAAGTATGCCCTTTGCATAGGAGTTAAGAGTTGAAATGCAGCTACGGTATATATATTTAAAAAACAAAACAAAACAAAAACCAAACAGATGGAAAAGTCTAAACCAGGATCCTACAGTTCTGAAGACTGTACAAAGACTCACTCAGAAGTACTACTGCTGCTGTTAACAGACCTCAACATAGGTCACAGGCATCTTATGCACATCACAACCTTATGTCTTTCCAAGGAGGAGAAAACATCACCACAGGCTTCAATTCTAATAGAGCAGTAGGATTAGTCTTCACAATCAAAATCATCATACAAATCTCATCTTTAAACAGTAAACTAAACACATGTACAGATTTACACCTTGCAAAGGTAGTGGGAAACAACTGCAAGTCCTCTCCATTCTAATGCTTTTTCCATCCATTACTGTCCTCATAAGACTACAGCAAATACCTGCAGCATTAAATGTGGCTAACAGCGCTGTATCTATTTTCTGGCATAACTTCACTGGGGACAATAGTTATCCCAGCAGGGATCTACCTATACAGATGAAGTCAGCGTATCAAATGAGTTGAAGTGTCCAGTTCCAAGATCATCAACCATAATGAAGCCATAGCTCTGTATCAGCCTCATGTAAATAACTCTGGCCATTCATTCAGGTGGATTCAGGATTCAGAAATTTGACTACATCATCACTTCACAGGGAAATTCCGGGGGCAAACTCAGATTAAAGGAAATAGGTAGACAGCATCAGAGCATATGCAGTGAATCCATATAATTCCACTTTATGTCCTGTTACTCATCATTTGAGCATGTAACAGGACAAGTTTGTTTATTTCCCAGACCACTAAGAACCCAAGTCTCCTTAAAACATGGGAAAACTGACATGGAATTACATAATCATTAACCAATATTAAACACTTACTAAAAGAACTCAAAAAACTTAAAACCCCCATATATTCATGGCAGGCTTATGTTTACTACATAAGGCTAGACAGTAAATAATAACAACATCTCAGCAATGATGAGGGGAAATTAGATGAGTATGTATTAACTGTTTCCATCAAGGTGAAGAACACAAAAGATGCAGAGCCCCAGTATATAACTTTTACATTAATTAATTTATTACCAATCAAGTTTTACCATGTAGCTCACAATACAGGAAGCAATGAAAAAAATAAATCCACCTCCTTTTTTTTTTTCCCTAGCAGCAGCTTGTTGTTCTACTTTTGTTGTAGAAGAGATATGTCTTAAACCAGATCAATACTGAGAAAATTGGCAGAGGTGGAAAGAGAGAATATAAGTCCAACATGGATACGTGCATGTAAATGAAATTGTTGTGTAGACACTCCAATTTGAATGATAAAAATACTCCCTGTCATGATACACAATGTACTCTGATCAGAGGGAATGCAGAGAAGAGAATGTCAGTAAGCTCCTATTGCTGCAACTGCACAGATAGCAGTTTTGAGGCATGAAATCTTGACAACAACCTACAGAGGCTTTAATGAAAGCACATAGTACAGATTTAAAAAACAAATAAACGTTTGTGAAGTCAAAAATGGGAAGAAACAAATGCAGCAGCACTGAATTTCAGTGCCAGAACTGTAGTGCTGCAAGACACATGACCCATAGATAAAACAGCTCTAAGGTGTTTTGGGTCATTTGCTTTATCTAGTCATTCTAGAAGTGTCCAGGCATTCAGAGCTTCTCTTAAAATATGTTAACTTTTAAATTTTGCTAGTAATTTATGCTTACAAGCAGTAGTAGGACATAGAAAGCTATTCATTTTCCAAGTTTGTACTTCCTTAGTGTTGGATACAGCGGCTTCTAGGAATGTATCATACATGGAACTAAGGCTCTCTCCAAAAGCAGAGTGTCATTTCCCTCAGCCACGAAGCCAACACTGGCATGACAGTGTTAAGCTGTTCATCTCTAGTACAGTATGCTGCTCATGGAAAAATGGAAGTAAATACAAATCCACCTCCCGCCAGGATAAAAAAAAAAGTCAGTGGTTGCACTAACACTTCCAACTATAATTCAAAATACCATAATTTGAAATACTATAAATACTTCCCTAACCAACATCATTCTAGTACTACTTAATCTAGATTAAATGCCTCCTGGTGAATACCGGGAAGTTGAAGGAACTTGTGGCTGAAGAAGAGCCTAAAGGGCCTTGGAGGGATTGGTTTTTTGCCAGAATAAAAAGCTTCTGTTTTTGCCACTAGAATTTGCTGGGAAGGGAGGAAGGGAGGAAGGAAGGAAGGAAGGGAGAAGTCTATGTATGTATTGTAAAGCCTTCAGAAGTACTCCAAAGAAAACACGGGCTTCATGGAGAACTACCACTAGCCTGGCTGGAAATCAATAGAAGTGCTGGCCACACAGAAAGCTTATACTTCCAGTGACCTTGGAGTTTGATGCAGACTGTGAAGGGAGTGCAGGGAAGTGTCACATATCTCCAGGCATAAATTCTGGTTATAAGAAAAATGCCTGGGAGCATTAGTTTTATTATATTGCACTAGGAATGCTTTTAGATTTAGAAGCAGCTTAAACATAGCCACAGTAGTCAGTAGCACAAGTCTGTGTAAGCTCACTGCAGCAGTTCTCCACATCTGCATTTCAGCTGGCTGGACTGCATTGCATCACCCTAATGCATTAGTCTTACTG